CCTATAGCCCACCAGGGCTACCACCACCCCCATCAAAAACTCTCCTTTCCATAGGCAACTCAAAATAACACAAAACCTCGTTGACACTAAGCTCAAAAGCTCCTCCCGCACACCCTTCCAGACACCATCCACCAATACACTATCATTACATATTCATTGTGTCAAAAATCATAATCAAATTCAAAAAAAAAAAAACATTCAAATCATAACTAAAAAAAAAAGAGATTGGACCAAAATCAAAAAGTTGTTCAACTCAAATGCGGAGTTCGAGAGATTTGCACCGATTGTAAGGTGGGGGATTTGTAGCGACAAGGGGTGGGGGAATCGACGTGGCTGTGGATTAGGAAAGTTGTAGTGATGTGGGATGGTTTTTGGGCGAAGGGGTTGCAACGGTTGTGGATGGGTTAGATGGGTGAATTGTATCGGCATGGAGAAGGTTGGGTGGGGGGATTTGCAACAACGTGAGTTGTTTAGGTGGGAGAGTTGCGGCAGCCATGGGGTTAAAGAGGAGGAAAAAGAGGGGAGTTATAGTGTGTGGTGTGCAATTTAAGAAAGAAATTATTTATTTCATAACACTCGGTGCTTAATTAGCACGTGTAATAATAGTACCATTACAATAAACCGATTTTATTAAATTTTCACTTCATTCGCACGTAAAAAAAATTAAGTGAAACTTGTAATTATTAAGAGTAGGTTGATTTTATGTAATTTATCTTTTGTTTTTCCTCGTGAAATGTAATTATGTCACTTCTGGAGGAACATACGTGTAACAAGTCCCACTCACATAACCTAAACCTACACCCTCGTTTGCTTTTACACGTCTCGAACTCATTGTTAGGAAGACGGTGAATCTAAAAAAAAATAGGTATGTATTTAAATTCGTTTTATTTAAATTAAAAATAAATTATATATATTCAACGGTAGATATATATAAAAATATTCGTATAAATGATCAAAATAATCTTATCCTTACCCCTCGTCTCCGCTATACTGTTAATATATATATATATATATATATATATATATATATATATACAAGGACTTAAAACCCTTACTCTCCCTTTCCTCTATCATCAGTCGCCCGCCTCCGTCTCTCTCTCTCAGTTATAGCTCCTCACAGTCGACTGCTTCCTTAGTGAGACCTCACTGATCGCTGCACTGATCGGCTCCTCACAGCCGACTGATCGCTGCATCTCTCACTTGCTCGCAGATCTTCGACACACAGGTGTAAGAGCTTGGACCTATCTACACACCATCGTGAGCCTATCTACACCCCATCGTGAGCCCCTGAAACACATTCTCTTATTTTTTTAGATTTGTGTACTCAATAGTGTGTGGTTTTGTCATGGTATAGTGACAACTTTTAAGTTTTTCGGTGCTGGTAATCGTTATGGGTGGAAGCTACTTGGTGGTGGGGGGTGTAGCACATAAAAGAACTAAAGAATCCTTGCTTCATTTGAGGCTCGGACGCAAGTGCAAATTAATTTTGCAAAATGCCCAAGCGAAACCACAAATTTTTATTTTATTTTATTTTATTGAATTTAAGGGCTGGGAGCAAAAAAATTCCAACCCAAAATAGTAGTTGCAGGTTCACTAAAAATTTGTTTCTATCCAGTGAACGGCTGATTTGGGCTGTCATTGTTCTATGTCCATTTTACCATGAATTACCAATTTCATGTTATATTGCATAAAGTCATTCAAATTTCTATTAACAGTTTACCAAAATGATTTTCTTCAGTTTACTTATTATAAGGGGATGGGGACTACAACCCTGCCCCGCCTCGCTGCGGTCCACTGACATCCCTACTCATTGCCCAGATCACATACCCACACTACTGCTTAAAGAGTTTGGTGGGCACTGTAGGCTCTTGTACTTTCCACTCTCAAAATTCTCTCTCAAGTTTTCAGTCTAGCTACAGATCTCTTTGGTTTTTGTAAGATATCTCTCCCTTATTTGATTTTCTATATATCTTTTTCCGGTATCCTTTCCCCCCCCCCCCCCCC